TCTTTCCATTTCGCAGAAATCACAACACCAGATCCCTTCAAAGATGTCATTCGCACAGAATTGCCACCAGATCTAACATCGCTAATCGAGGATAAACTAAAAAATTTGATTACCCAATCGAACTACAACAGCACCATTGTCACAACCACTCAACAGCCATCAAAGGAAAATGTACAAATCTCTTTTGACATGAATGTGGAGGAACAATCAGTCAAGGCAACAGCATCAGCAGCCGAAGCTCATTTCCATAATGTAGATTTGAAGGCAACGAACACAATGACCGATATTGGAGATAACAGCAAAAAAGTTACACAAGACATGAGTGACAAACAAACCACAACAGCAACAACAACGGGGAACAACCATGCCGAAAATGTCATGAATAAGTCTCCAACGGAGGAGCATCAGGATGATGATGAGGCTGAAAAATCAAATGATGGAAATTCGACTATGCCAAAGGCTGGGGATATCATCAAATACATGCCAGAGGAAAACAGCAACACTGAGACGGACGGTTCAACATTGACAGGCACTGGAACAACAGCAAAACCAATAGACACAGCAAAACAAACAACATTGACGACGTCAACCGCAGCAACAACAACAACAATCACCACTAAGGCCAGCAAAAGACCGGTCATCAAGCATAATAACAATAAAACAATTGCCCATGCCACCAGCACAACTACGACAGTCAACAATGCTAACAGACCGAACTTGAAATTGACCAAAAACAAAGTGTCTGTCGGCCAGCCAAGTGCAACGGCAACTGAAACAAAGATATTGGCGTCATCCTCAGTCTCAACGAAAACCAAATCATCGAATGCAACACGACGTGTAACAAGCAATAAACCGACAAGGCAACAGTATCACAATAAACCCAACTCCAGGCCCACGAACACACCAGTGCAGGCAACAAAAATGGCTAATGCCACAGTCAATGCGGCGAAGGGATCATCCGCACAGCATCGATTAAATGGGACAAATATTGAGTCACAATCCTCTGGCAAAAATACAAAACGTACTGGCGCTGTAACGGTTGGCGGCAATAGACCCAAAAAGACAACAACAACTAAAGTTGGTATACACACAACAACGCCACCACCACCGACAGCATTACCAAACTCATCTGCAACGAAGACGACAACGACAGCAACAACGAGGAGAACATCATTGCAAACAAAGGCACCACCACCAACGACATCATCGCCATCGTCGCCAACAACAACCACAACAAATCCATTTTTAATGTCACCTTTTGACAAATTGCCTTTCATGGATGCCAGCTTTGAAGTGAAACGTAATTCAGCAACGCCTTCATTTGCAATTCCAAGCCAAACCTTTTTAGTGGCCAATGGACCGGCAGACGATGGTCTTCCATATTTCTCAACATCATCCGGAACGTCATCTTCCTCATCTTCAGAAAATCCATATTCATTGTCTTCTGCGGAACATATTTCATCTGTTAACCATGTCAAATTAATGGCTGCACAGCATCATCATCCCTCCTTCAGTACAAGCAGCAGCAGTACGACCAGCACCACCACCACGACCTCTCATGGCCATGTTGAGGTGTCAACATCATTGCCTTCACGCAGCTCAGCAACACTGAATAATTTAATTGATCCAATTGGCATCTTAAAATTAGCCGGTTGTAATATCTATGGACGCATGTATCGAGTGGGTCGAATCATACTCGAGCTGTCCTCACCATGTCAGGAGTGTCGATGTACCGAAATTGGTGTTAAATGTTCTCCATTGGAGTGTTAGGTGGAGGATATTCAACATCAATATCTTCGAGAGATTTCAACATTTCAAACTTTAGTATTAGCGTTATTCCCACTACGGAACAATCTGTGAGCACAACTTAGCGGATGGAGACTATTTATAGTATTATAAGTTATAATATCTAAGTCTAAGCTTTAAGAATTAATATAATATTTATATTAAATTATCATTAATAAAACTTTGAAATATATTTTTATTAGCAGGAGATTAACTACAATTACAGATATTCCCTACTTGAGGGGCTCGGTTTGATTTAGAAATATTGGACCAACATATATTTTCTATTTTTTTTATAAATAACGTATTAACCCCTCATGTATCCAATATACCTTAGGAATGATATTCAGTATTCGACAAATACTCTAATTGTTTTTAATATCTAAACAAAATTATGACAATAATAAAAAATTTAATATTAATTTTTAAAATATTACATACGCCCACATATTTATATCAGTATAGTAAGCTCATATATTAAGACACAAAAATATATAAATTAAGCAAAATTCTAAATATTAATAAATTGTATATTAAAATTATTTTTATACCGCTATATAAATAAGTTTGAATTTAAAATTCACCGAATAAAATAATAAATAAAATAATTATAAACTAATTTTATTTAAATGTGATTCGATGGGGGTATATTTAATGATGGTAAAAACTTTTGACGATTTCATATTCATATTTCCTAATATCGATGTTCAATTTTTTTAATTAATTAAAAATTTTTCCCAATATTAAGGCTAATAATATATATAACATGCCACTGTAAGTGCTTTTCAGTCTTAATCGCACATACCTTGGGAGTTTGGTGCACCTAAAATCGGACGAAACTATATATGGGAGCTATATCTAAATCTGAAACGATTTCAAGAAAACTGCACCGATATCAAACTGGAATTAATTCACTACGCTGTGCAAAATGTTGTCTCAATTGGACAAGTATTATCTAAATCACAACCGATATTCTCCAATTTCAATAATCTAAATCGTATTATAAATGCGACCTGTACTTTCTTCATATGAATATATGGATAGACGGGCGGATGGTCATGCATTATCTGAAAGTATTTCTATGCATAGAAAGTGATTCTGAATAATTCAAATAATAATTCGAAAACCACAATAAGAGAGGGCAATTCATTGGGCACCATAACATTTCGAGCTCTTATAAATCGGCTCAAATCAGAGCCTTTTTGACCAGCCAAAAGATGGCAGACCAGTCCTGGAATCAAAGACTTCCTTAAAATCATGAATAGAGATGGGCAGTGGGTAAATACCCATTTGTGGGTATTTATTTGGGTATTTACTATATTGAATAGGTAATACAACATCTTACACCCTATTTCCGGGTTTCTGTTATCAAATCGATTTAGAATGGATAGTTTTACGATACTTTAAAGACGTGGGTAAATACTCGAGTTTTTACCCAAAAATTGGGTATAAACTCATTAACTTGCAAAAAATACTTTAAATCGGGAGATACGCTTATATGGGGGCTATATCAAAACTTGGACCCCGGGACCCCATTCTGGATTTCTATATTTGCTTTGACATTAAAAACTTGTAAGCAAAATATTGGCCGCCTATTTCAAGTGGTTCGGAAGTTAATGAGTTTATACCCAATTTTTGGGTAAATACTCAAAATAGGGGTACCTTTGTATGGGGGCTACCAGTAAACGTGGACCTACATACATGAATTTTTGCATGGACATTTGGTACCCAAATAGAGCTCTCTGTGTCAAATTACAGTCAATTTGGTCGCAACATGTGTCTAATAGACAAAAATGCCTTAAATCGGGAGGTGCGGATATTGACTTTAAAAACATGTAACATGTGTCAAGTGGTTCGGCAGTTAATGAGTTTATACCCAATTTTTGTTGTCTTTAAAGTATCGTAAAACTATCCATTCTAAATCGATTTGATAACAGAAACCCGGAAATAGGATGTTGTATTACCGATTCAATACAGTAAATACCGAAATAAATACCCGCAAAAGGGTATTTACCCACCCCTTGGGTATTTATTTGTAGAAGTCAGGTGATTCACTTCCCTTTTGTATCTTTTACCTCAAAATATAAAAATCGAAGGCTCTCATTTTTATCACTGATTGGTTGAAAAACTTTTAGCTAAGCATTCAATATTTTAGCCAAAGTGAGAATTCATCTAAACAAAATGTTAAATATTCGGCTTGTGCCATCCAATGCAGTTTCGGTCGTATTCTACACATTGAACTAAGAGTTGAGTTTTCCATAGCATACTCTTAGGCGAACAAATAAAACTACAACCATACTACATTGATGTAAACATAACATTGTGGACATGCTAACATAGATATCACATAACATACCAACTTGCAAACTAAGCGTGTAGCAATGGAATTATTCGCCCATGTGACATGTTCATGTAACGAATTTTTAGGTTTTCGACTGTCAAAAAGGTGTAAACGTTGTAAGTGTTGATCGCACAACAATGTGTAAAATATTGTGGAGAGTAATTAAAGTCCTGGAAGACAAAGTTTGTACAAGCTGTGGACAGCTGCAGGCCAGGATCCAGCCATGATGCTTTTATTTGGCATATGAGTGCAGCTAGGCAGCATTAACAAAAGAGGAAATGGTATGCGAAATAGTTGGCTTCTAGGAGACAGTGGTTACGCTTTAGAAACATTTTTGATGACGCCCTATAAACAAGTGGAGCAGGGATCTTGTCAACATCGATATAATAAAGGGCACACATCTGCAAGAAACTTTATTAAACGTATTGTTGGAAATGTTAAAAGGAGATTTTTTATAGATTTTATTTTTATTTTGATCATACGGTGGTTGAGTTTCCAGATTGATCTCAAATATGTTACGCGCTGTTTTTTATAAAATGAGCCCTTTTTATTTTCCTTAATTTTACTATAAAAACTAATGTAAATGCTTTATTTTTTAAATAAATATTGTAAAAACACGTTAAATATTACTTCAGCGTTCTTGTACGTGCTCAGAAAAACACGTACGATCTCATTTCGTTTTCAATCCACAAGGCTATATGTGCTCGAATTATATTCCCAATATTTTTTTGGAATTCGGAATGGAGTACACCAAATTTGGGAAAATGTTTCACATTCGAGCAAACTCGAAATGCAGCACATGGGCGATTATTTAAAATTTTAAACAAAATGAAAGTAAGAATCTCAAAAACTTATGGAGATTAAGTCGATTTATTGTATCAGCATACAACGAAGGCAAGAGCCTTTCTCAAAAGTTAAAAGCGTTTTCCAGAAAAAAAACCAGTAAGGAAAGTAGTAAAGTCGGACTGGGCACCTACTGATTATTTGGTGTACAATTAACATAAATAAGTCGAAATTATATATGGAAGCTATGATATATCTATATCTGAACCGATTACAAGCAAAATTTCCAGAGATTAATTTATATTAATTTCAGTACGTTGTGTCAATCGGCCTAGCTGTGGATCTTTAGTGCACAATTTATTTAAAATCGGACGAAAATATATATAGGAGGTGTACACACATCATTCTAGACTTAATTCAATGCGCTATGCCAAATTTCGTGCAAATAGAATGCTTTTCAGAGACTTTGGTGCACCATTTACTTACAATCGGGCGAAACTATATATGGAAGCTATATCAAAATCTGAACCGATTTTCACAAAACTTAGCACACGTCATTCTAGACCTAATTCAATAGGCTATACCAAATTTCTTTCAAATCGAAAGATATATACGGACTTTGGTAGAATATTTACCTAAAATCGGGCGAAACTATATATGGGAGCTATATCTAAATCTGAACCTATTTTCACGAAACTTAGCACACGTCATTCTAGACTTAATTTAAAACGCTATGCCAAAATACGTGCAAATCAAACGATTTTCAGGGATTTTGGTGCACCATTTACCTAAAATCGGGCGAAACTATATATGAGAGCTATATCTAAATCTAAACCAATTTTCACGAAACTTAGCACACATCATTCTAGACCTAATTCAGTAGGCTATACCAAATTTCGTGCAAATCGAAAGATATATAGGGACTTTGGTACACCATTTACCTTAAATCGGGCGAAACTATATATGGGAGCTATATCAAAATCTGAACGGATTTTCACGAAACATAGCGGACGTCATTCTAGACTTAATTCAATACTCTATGCCAAAATTCGTGCAAATCAAATGATTTTCAGGGACTTTGATGCACCATTTACCTAAAATCGGACGAAACTATATATGGGAGCTATATCTAAATCTGAACCGATTTTCACGAAACTTAACACACATCATTCTAGACCTAATTCAGTAGGCTATACCAAATTTCGTGCAAATCGAAAGATATTTAGGGACCATTTACATTAAATCGGACGAAACTATATATGGGAGCTATATCTAAATCTGAACCGATTTTCTCCAATTTCAATAGGGTTCGTCCTTGGTCCAAATCGGATCATAAGTGCGACCTTTACTTTGTTCAAAAAAATACATGGACGGACGGGCGGATAGACGGACATGCATAAATCGACTCAGAAATTGATTCTATGCATATTCTCAAAAGGAACCAATGGCCTATCTCGATTATTTTTGCCTGTTACAAACATATGCACAAAGACATAATTCGCTGTACCACAGTGTTGTGAAGGGTATAACCAGTAACCCATCGGTTTAAGTTTAATTTTATGTACGTAAATAGCTTTCATATGAACTAGGATACATCCAATTGGTAAAGATCTTCTTTAGATTTTCAATAAAAAGATCATGAATCTTGCCAAATGGGACATCGTGGATGGGAGTTCTCCTTAAATTTGGCATTCTGTTTGCAAAAACCTCAGCTCCCCGCTAAAAATATGTTTTATTTTGGTACGGCTCTCATATAACGGTATCATCCCAATTTCGATATTTTTCCAAGAAAATCACTGTAATTTCGCATTGCGAGTTCTTGGAGGCTATCACACATATATGCAGAAAAATATAGTTTTTG